ACAAAAGGGGGGGGGGGGGGAGTAGGGGCGTAGAGCAACAGTTAATATTTAGTTAAATCATGAGATGTGTTAGCAGTATAATAATTTCAAAATATATGCATTACGGAACATACGCTCGACTGAATCAGCAATTAGATTAGGCTTAGACTATAGCGACTAGAGCGGCACACCAATAAAGGATCTACTCACTGAGGCAGAGTTGTCAGCAATGAACGTGAGTATATGAGTAGTCTAAGTAAGATGAAAAAGCTGGCTGGAATGTTTGAGTAAAAAGTGTAAGGAAAAAGTTTTTAAGGAAAAAAGGCTGATCTGGGGCTTCAGTAGTGTTGAGAAATTTTACATGTCGACAAAACGGATGTCGCAATCAATAATATAGATACTCCATTAGAGGCTAATACCATTAATAATAATATAGCCTGTGAATGCTAAAACAGTCAAGAATGTTTAAGGGAAAAAGATTGACTCGTAAAAGAGAATCATCAATTTCGCAAGCGCCATCAACAAAAAGAGGAAGATGAGAGCAGTGAAAGACGGAAGAAATTCAAGAAATCAAAGTTGTTTATGCGTTATTTGATAAATGTTTTATTACAAGTGCGTCAGCGTTAATAGTAAAAGAGACAAGTAGAAGTAGAAAAACGTCACTGACGCGAAAAAGGGACCACTGGTTCATAGAAACACCACTGGTGAAAGTGAGGCAAATTGCCCAAATAAAATTTAACCAATGGTAAAGTTTCCCGTATGACGGAACTGGGTTCTCTACCACAGGTTGCCCTTGAGGTATAAGAATCAACAGTCTAGTCACAAAGTAAAAAAGGGAATAACATTAAAAGACCTCAGTTTAAAACTAACTTGGTGGTTCGTTTCGCCCCTTACATCCAAACGAACCACTTTGTTTTTTGCCAACCCCGAGGCTCATCAGTGGACGAAGGTTGGCAAAAAACAGTAAAAGGTGTTAAAACATTCAATTTAATTCAACCAAAAGGACCACAACTTAGAACCAACAGAAAAAGCAATAAAATTAAAGAAGAAAAAGACAAGAGATAATAGGATATGAGCAACAAGAATAACAATCTAAGAAAAACTAAGTTTGATACTCAGTCGAACATCGTTAACTCATTATAGTTAGAGCGCGTTACCGTTGACGGTACCAATTTTATATCAAAAAAGAAAGAAAGTAATTAAAACCAACATATCTGTGATGTAATTAGTGGAAGGCTAACTAGTAAAATATCACCATTTTATAACACAGTGGTAGAAATGAATAGAAGAAGCTGAAATCCAATAAAACATGCTAATAGTTAGAAATTGAGAAGGAAAAGTAACGATAATACCAAATTATATATATATATATATATATATGAAAGTATGCATGTACAATTTTGTTGTGTTTATTTTCGTAATTAT